GTATTTTTAGTTACAAGAAAAAATAGTTTTTTATTTTTTTGAAAATGTTTGTTTTTTTTTAAAAAATCAGGTAATATATATATATATATATATATATATATATATATATCTCTTTTATTTACAACTGTCCAGTAAAGGACATTCAATAAATTTGATAAATTTACAATAGTCGGCCGAAAAGGGACATTGTATACTACAAGGGCATGTTGGAAAAAACAACTCAGTAGTTGTTTTTCCATTCGATATAAAATTCACAATATTTTATTGATAATTATATAATTTTAACTTTTTACTTATTGAATAATTTACTATAAATAATGATTAAGTTATTTCCATTTTTTATCAGGAGAGTTGATGGCTTAAATCCAGTGGCGCTTTTCTTTTCAATCTTCTTGGATAGTTCTCTGTTATCAATGAGTTTGCTAATGAATTTGGGTAAAAAATAAATGCACGTGATATTTTACTATACTCTTCCATCCCCCACGTAATATTTCGTTATTTTTTGTCAAGTCCCCCTCCCCCTAACACTCTCCTTTAATATATTAATCGTGTATTTTAATCAAAATTATCTAATGATACTTGAACTTTTAAGACTAGAAATTTTAATATCTAACTAAGATATTGGATGAAAAATATGGGTTTATTTTACAAAATTGAAAAAAAAACTACATTTTACTAGTTAAGATAGGCATATATTACATACATATTAAACCAGTGGTTGTCAACATTTTTGGTATTTTGAAAGCATAAAACGAAATACAATAAAAAATTCATAAATCATTGTTTAGAATTTCTTGAGCGCAAACTTTATATATCGGGTACTATTTTAATACATTCTGCGGTTCTGTACATACTTTTCTTGCAAAAATTTGTATATGCAGGAATATTATTAAAATTAAGGAAATTAAAAAGTTCTCAATTAAAATTTACAAATTCAAACCGTTTTGAAATTTAAACGTTTTTAAAAAAAGTACAAATATTATCAAAACAGACTTGAAGCCATACATGCATTCTTGTACATCAGGGTTATTTGTCATCCAGCATCCACTATCAACATCCCTATTAATCCTAATTTAATTTTTATTTAGAATAAAAATGTATATATATATATATATATATATATATATATATATATATATATCATTATTCAACTTCGTAATAAGTATCTAAACCTAATAAAAAATTGCCGAATGTGCATAGAAGTGAATGAATAATGCAATATAATCTGCGTTGAACTTAGATTAATTATAGGTATAATTACATCGTTAATGAATATTAAAAAATAAGAAATATATATAATTATAAAAAATGGTTTGCGTTACTATTTTGTATAATTAAGATATTAAAGCTACAATGTAATCGGTAAGAACAAAGTATGGAAAAGCGGAACAATAAATCTGCTGATGTCAAGAAGGTCTACAAAAAATATAAAATACTAATAGCAGCATGTGCGTTTTATGGTTTTACCATGTGACAATGTTTCAGGGAATTAAGGCATATCTTAACATGTTATTTATATCACATTTCATTTTTGAATGATATTAAAGTCCGCGAGATGATTACGGCAATCAATGGAAATAGTTTGTCATGATAATTTATCATTTCTGTTGCAAATTGTTTCTTAAATTTTACGCAAATTATTTCAAATAGAGCAAGGCTGTGCACGAAGATCTAACTTGACTTTGAGCAATTACATTTTGAAAACCAAACCAATTATATCATAACAAATAACACATATCATACAAACAACTATCTGACTACGTTAAAAGTAAGTAAAAGTAAAACTCCCACATAATTGGTCATTGTAGAAATGTAATCATTTGCCCGTTTTTCAAAAATTTGTCACCTGGTTCTTTTTACTCCATACGCTGAGCAAAATGGGACGGCCTGGAAGAGATTTTACGAAATAATAGCTACATTATTCAACCAATGCAAAATATAAATTTTAAGGGTACATTTTTGATAGTCATAACTCTGTACGTAACCTTGATCTGGTATTTTGTCATTCTCTACTTTCAAATATTGTAGTTAAAAAAATCTTAACTTGTTTTTGAAATATCGGTAGTGGACTTTTTTACTCGCGGACCTTTAATCCCCGCTCGACCCAATTTAATTTTCGTCTTTGAAATTTGGAAGATTCGCGTGCAAATGCAACTGTTTCACTTTGAGTCGCTTTTACGTTCGAGATGTCTTCGCAACCGTGACTCCGACAATTTAACATAACGATCACATGTTTCCGTAGAATTAGAATAAAAATATAATGAGTTAGAGCAATATAATTGCTGTTTCGTAGAATTTCACCGTTTTTATATGCAAATATTGTATTCGTTATTGTCTAATTGTGATATTAGTTTGCTAAATATCTTAATTGTTTTGCATTATATGCAATTATTTTTTGCATCTCCCTAGTGATTACAATTTAATTTTATGACGATTTTTATTCGACATGCATATATGTATATGCTTCTTATCTGCGTTCATCGCCGCATCAATAATTAGTATTTCTTGAATAGTAAGTTTATGTAAATCGAACATGAATTTCGTTATTATACATTTTCATTTAAAATTATCGATACAAATAATAATTATAGTACAAAACTTTGCTTTTGTAATAAATATGAACAAATATATGGCGGGTATGGTAATTTTAGCATATTCATAAACATGTTGAGCATCATAAAAAATGTAATATCATTTTTATTGTTGAAAAGACCCTTGAATGTTAAAGCAAAATTGTGCATAGTAATTTTACTAGCTCATTTTTTTTCTTATAAATTACAATCTCTCTAAATAGAAAGATATTGAGTAATTAGTTTGATAAATAACATATTAAATTTTAAAAGGAAAACCCAGTGGCTCATGTTTTATTAGTGTAATTTTTATATTTTTAATCATTTAACTATGATTGACGAATATACTCGTCATGAAGAAGTGTATATTTGTTGTGTATATTTGTGACGAGTATATGTGTCATGCGCAAAAAGCGAAGACCATTTACAATTTAAATTAACAATGTTGAAAAAAATATATATACTGATACGTTGAATAACTGTGAAAAATCGATATTTGATATTAAGTTTTTAATTTTAGTGATTCTATAATTTTCTTTGTAGATAAAGTCAAAAATCTAAAGTGATCATCGAAAAAAGAATTGGAATCATATTCGTCAACGAGTTTGCCATTATCAATCTTAAAATTCCAAAATCTGCTTTTGAAATCATAATTTTTTTATAAATTTTCCTTAACTGTGCTTTTTAAGGAGTTAGCTTTGATCGACAAGAATACACGTCATAAAGAAGTATCAGAATTTTTGTGTATCTACGACTATTTTTGCCATGCTTATAAAACATTGACCATTGGCTAATTAAATTCAATATTTGTCAGAAAATAAATTATATTGTGAAATTAAAATCATATTCGTCGTCGAGTTAGTCATTATCAATCTTAAAAATTCAAAATCTGCTTTTGAAATCATAATCTTTTTATAAATTTTTCTTAACTGTGCTTTTTAAAAGAGTTAACTTTGATTAACAATCATACACGTCATAAAGAAGTGGCATAATTTTGTGTATTTAGGAGAATATTCGACAAGTTTCTAAAATGTTGATCATTGGCTATTTAAATTAAATTTTTGACAAAAATAAAATATATTCTGAAATGTTGTTTCAAGTCGTTTAGAATATTTTGAGGCTATGATTGTATAAAATTAGGAATTGTTATGGATATTATACGTTAAGGCAAGTTGCATAAACTTCCCGAAATGTGAAAATAATATAGCAAATCAATAAGAATCAAAATTTATCTATTTGTATACCATTTTCTACATTTTATTTTGAAAATTATTCATTGTTTTTCATCCAGAACTATTCTAACTTTTTTATACTTAGTACATGTTCGCAGAATTATATCCTTTATTGAGTTTATCGGGCGCAACTAGTGTAACCGCCTAAAAAAATGTGTTTTTTTGGGAATTTATATTAAAAAAACTACTTTATCAATCATTTCAAAATTTTAGGAATATATTTATACATGTTGTAAGAATACATAGTGAAATTTTTGAAGAAAAAATTAAATATTTTTTAAGTTATCGTCAATCTCAAACGGCGCGACAAAAAAAGACCCTTCACTGCTGCAGTGATTCCGGCCTTTTACGTGGACAAAATTTAAAAAAAAAATTCTTATTAAACTAGATAATATTGTCTGTAAAATGAACTACGATAAAAAAAATTGACAAAGTAACGGCGTTTTTTAAAAAAAAGTCGAATTTTACCCAAAATTTTGGTCGTTTTTGGACTGGCAAAATTCGATTTTTGCCAGTGGATAGTTCATTTTACGGAGAACATATATAGAACATGTAAAAAAAAAATTGATAGTGATCGGATCATTTATTTTTCAGTAATCGCTGCAGCAATTTCGGAAAATGCTGTTTCGAGAAAAACGCGTTTGAAGATAAAATGATCGTTATACTATATACTATATACATATATATACTATTTAAATGGCTGTAACTCAAAAACTATTTAAGATATCGATTTAAAATTTTGGTATGTTATTTTTGAAATATGGAAAAATTTAAAATTTGATTCTTTGAAATTTTCACACTAGTTGTGCCCCTTAATACGCATGCAATACATGCTTATATTAACAAAGAAGTGAAATTTAGTAATAGCAATAATTGTAAAATAAATCCAAATTACTTGGTGTTTGACGAATATATACGTCATGCTTGATTCGGACTATACATAACTGTCCGTACTGTTCGATGTGAGCGTCACAGTTAACTGGTTAATATTTTTTATGATTACGGGTTTTAAAATTATATTGATGATATACAAAGACGTTGTCAAAACTATCAATCACTGTGTGTGAGATTTTCGCCTGTTTGGATGTTGTTACTGATACGGATATAAACAATTCGCCTCACTTTAAGATTTGATATAGCAGAACCAAATGCAACATTGTAAATGCAAACTAATAATAGATTGTTCTCTCCTCCGCAGGCACTGTGAACGCTAACGGCGAGACGAAGAGGCAGCGCACATCTTACACGCGTTACCAGACGCTGGAATTGGAGAAAGAGTTCCACTTCAACAGGTACCTGACGCGGCGGCGACGCATCGAAATCGCGCACGCTCTGTGCCTCACCGAGAGGCAGATCAAGATCTGGTTCCAGAATCGCAGGATGAAATGGAAGAAGGAGCACAAGATGGCCAGCATGAACATAGTCCCATATCACATGAGCCCGTACGGCCATCCCTATCAATTCGACCTGCACCCCAGTCAGTTCGCGCATCTGTCCGCATAGGATCAGTGGAACTTTTCGAATAACGGATAACTCCATTGAGCCCGCCACTCGAGCCGTTCAGCGGACAGAGGCGGATTCGGACGCAATGATGAGTTATTCGTATTCGGAAACCCCAAGGCCCGGTACGATCTCGATGGCGCCGTTGGACGGGACAGGGCGACAGGCGACCCACTCTTAAGGCCATCAACAGCGCCAGCGAGGACGTACACGGGGTGCCGCGGAGCACTCGCTGCTCAAACAAATCGTACTATTATGATTATGCGATAAATCTAAATGGACAATTTATTGAGATATTAATTGATATCATATTCTGTTGAGTTTAACTATTTATAAATAGAATTATTATTAGTGAGTAGTATGTACATGTATGAAAGTTTGATTTTAATTTGTGGTATTTCTGTTGTTAAGTAAATTAATTACCCCGAAAAACAAATTCGGAAACAAACAGGGATTTTTGACAAAGTGTTTCTATGAAAATTTAATGTTCCTTACCGGGCACATTGCACATTGTGAAATAGACATATTTTACAAGTAAATCTTATATAAAATCTGTGTGTAACTATTATTAAAATTATATAGTTTTTGTTTATGTTTAGACATATAAATGACGTTGCGTGATTTTATTTCTTAAATATGACTGTGTAATATATATTATGTAAATAATTAATTTTAAATAAATAGTTTATAGAATATAATTATTTGCCAATTCAGCAATTATTGTCATCAAATGAGAGTTGTACTTCTATAAAAAAAATGACTTAAATCGGCGTGCAATCGATTCGAAATAAATTTGTTACATGTATAGCACTTAAGTTCACAGATCACTAAGAACTTCGCACAACGCTTCCTTCAAGCGTGCAAAGTAGAATAATTATCAGGTTATTGCTTAAACAATAGGGAATATGCATTTTTGATTATAGAAACTAAAATAATATGTAGAAATATTTTTATAACGTAATTATTTATAGATGTAACTTTATTGTTTAAATGTTTAGATTTTTTGTACCTAAATAATTAAATAAAAGTGAAGGAAAAAGTAAAATTTTGAGCGTTTTTATAATCAACATTCATAATGTGTAAAACGATTGATCGCATAGATTTTGACAGTTTTTACTACCATTTATATGGAGAAAAGAGCGTAACATAGCTTTGCCATAACAACGCTATGTTACGATCTATTTTATCGGAGATTTTGTCTCTTATAGTAATATTTAATTCTTTGAGAACGATAAAGAACCCAGGTACATTATTGTAAAGAAAAATTTAAATCAGACTACTGAACAAAAAACATGTCGAATTCAAATTAACCAATATCTATTTCATGCATATTCCTTATCGTAATTCAAAATTCTTAGATGATCACATGCAATTTTTGTATTCACAATAATCAACACGGCACATCCACTGATTATATCGTTTATGCATTTTACAAAAATAGTTTTATAAATATATAAATATATGTGTGTGTACACGAAATGTAAATTTCCAAACTGTAAATTTAATGTAAATTTGACTCTGTATTTAATATGAATGTGTATTAAAAATTTACAAACTACGCTAAGAATTTATTATGGTAAGAACAAAAAAATAATAATAACATAAGTTATATGTTTAGCAAAAATCATATAGAAGGAACTAAATATAAGTATGTACTCTTCATTCCATGTAAAATTGAAATTATCGAAAATATATTGAATGACTCATTGTTTAAAGCAATCCAATATTGTTTTATTTACTAAGTTCAACTGGATCATAAATATAATAAACTAAATATAATAAATATATAAATAACATAAATATAATAAACTAAACTATTGAAAAAAATTGCTGTTATTAAAGATATATAGCAAATAACACGGACTATTTCACAGAGAATCTAATGGCAATTGCCATTCATTCAAATAACAGAATTTTTTGAAGTGCTTTGAATTTTTTTTATAAATCCTGTATAAAAGAAATTTGTATTCAAAAATAGACATTTTTACAAAATAGTAGATATAACTAGAATGGCTTACTTCAAATTTTATAGTATTTTCTAAAAAAATTACTATGTATTTAATAACAAATTGATAGCAAATACATTTAGAATTGGCCATCATATCGGTGAATCATAAAACTTTAATTGAGAAGGTGTATATAGAATAAAACTTTATATTATTAGTTTCCATCGTAGTATTAGAATTGTTTAATAAATCCTGTACAAAATAAATTTGTATTGAAAACTGAATCTACTATTTTTACAAAATAGTAGATATAACTTGAATGGCTTACTTTAAATTTTGTAGTATTTTCTACAAAAATTACTATGTATTTAATAACAAATTGATAGCAAATATAATATATTGAGAATTGGCCATCATATCGGTGAATCATAAAACTTTAATTAAAAAGGTGTAAATATAGAATAAAACTTACTATTACTAGTTTCTATCGTAGATGGTGTCTTCAAACAAAAAAATTAATCATGAATTTATATAGCATCATAGATAAACAAGTATAAAATAGCATTCAATTAAGTTATAGTCCAAAAGCATAGTTTGAAATTATTATAATATTTAATTTAACTTAATTGTTGAATCTTCATTACAACGAAGTATTTTATTAATACTTATGCTATAGAGAATATTTATATAAAATGTAGAAAATTTCAGATAAATTTTAAGTTCAGATTCGACTTTCCCACCATGAATTAATTATAACTAGAAACGACGTGAATTGAACTATGTCAAAATTTAACTTGCAAATATAAATAGAATGTAATAATGAAATTTATTAATTGAATTTAAGTAAAATATAGAAATTACAAATGGGAAAAGAATTATCTGAACAGTGTGGTTCAGTTTTGCTTCGTCGTTGAAGATGGCGCCAGGTGTTTTGAAAAAAGGTAAATATCTATACTAAGCGAATTATTTAACCCTCTGATTTAAGTAGAAAGCTTTTATATCCCTTTTATAGAATTTTCATAATTTTTTTTGTAAAACTATGAAGCTTTTACATCCCCTAAATCAACTATTAAAATATTTTCTGACAGGAAAAATGTCTTTCATCTTAATGAACAGGTGTCATTGACAATTAGTTCAATTGTTTTTATTCTTAAATTTAGATATCAATAAATAGTATTTTGGTCAAATATTAAATTAGTAATTAGAATAAATCAGAAAATTTGTGTTTTAATATTTAATATCCTTGTGCTTAATATTCGATGCTGATTTTGCGGAAAATTGCGAAGAAAATTCAATTCTACTCATAATATCGAGGTGGATTTATAATTAGCAGGTATATATAAAACTTTGGCAGGTAGTTTATTAGCAAGCCGCATAAGTGTATTTACTTCACTTTTTTTCTTTTTATTCAGCTAAACATTTCATTTTTAATTATTTATTGCTTTATTTATTTATATAATACAAACGTAAAAAACGTAAAGATATGCAAAAAAATATTTTTGATTTTTTTGCAATTACTTTAACTTACTCTAAGGACAGTTGGTAAAATAATCTCAAAGACTAACGCATGTACTTTTAAAATTATTAACATTGACATTAAGTGTCAACTGTTCATAAAATTTGAGCAATCTTTACTTACACCTACTTGGTTTTTTTTTTTTTTTTTGTTACAATTTATTTTTTTTAATCAAGACTTTAATGTCTTATTTACAAAATTGATATGAGCAAAAAAAAAATACAAAAAAACAAAAAATGCAATACATTGAATATAAAATGAAAAAAGTTGAAATAAAAATTAAATTAAAACAGTAATACAAAAATAATAACATAAATGAACGATGACGTGATGATGTATGCCGCGTACTACGTCAGGACGCGTGCAGACATTGGGCTAGGTGTTTGGTAGATCGGAAGGCCATTTCTTGCTCAATCTTCTTATCGGTCTCTGAATCGCTTGAATTGTAGGATTTGTATGCTGGGTTAATTTGTTGTTGAAAGATGAACTTCTAATCTTGATCATTTCGTTGACTGTTGAGATTTTCAAATCCTTATGTAGGCAAAAATTCGAAATATACCAAGGCGCATTAGTAAGGATACGCAGAATTTTATTCTGGCACCTTTGAATGATGTTTATGTTAGATTTGCATGAGCAACCCCATAGTTCGATTCCATAAGTCCAAATGGGCACTATGATAGTTTTATACAAAAGTACCTTGTTATCGAGAGAGATTTCAGATTTCCTCCCAAAAAGCCAGTAAAAATCTTTTATTTTCAGTTGGATTTGTTTCTTTTTATATTCAATGTGCGTTCTCCATGTCAATTTCGAATCAATGTGCATGCCTAAATATTTAACAGAATTGCATAGTGGAATTATTGAATTGTTCATGATGATAGGTGGACTGTTGTGATGTTTTAGAGAAACAATTATGTGCTGAGATTTTTCGATATTGATTTTGATATTCCAATCTAAAAACCATTTTTCGAGACTAGATAAATAATTTTGTAACTGACAAGTTGCTGTTCTAATATCGGAATTGCATGAAATAATTGCTATGTCATCGGCGTAAGTGCATATGGTTAGAAGATCATCTGTGGGCATATCGTTTGTGAAAAGAAGATAAAGTACAGGGCTTAGCACACTGCCCTGTGGTACCCCGCATTCTATATTTCTGATGCTCGAAGTCACATCTTTAATTTTGATTCTAAATTTTCTATTAAGCAATATGAGCTTAAGATATTGAAGTAGTTTGGAAAAGTTGTTTTGATTTTATATAGGAGTCCTGAGTGCCAAACCTTATCGAAAGCCTGACTGACATCTAAGAATACGGCTACACTGTGTTCCTTTCTATTCATGGCTTCAAGAATACGAGACACCGTTCTGTTGCATTGTTGAATTGTAGAGTGATTTTTTCTGAAGCCAAACTGATGGTGAGGAATCCAACTATCATTCGGATGATCTTCTGACAATCTCTGCAACAAAAGTCTCTCTAAAATTTTCGATAATATCGATAAAAGACTGATAGGACGGTATGAACTAGCAGTGTGATGGTTTTTGTTTGGTTTAGCGATCATAATAATTTCTGCAGTCTTCCACGCTGTGGGCCAATAATTGTATTGAAGTATGGCGTTGAAAATATTTGTTATATATAAGATACCTTTTGTAGGCAATTCTTTTAACATCTTTGGAGTAATTTTATCCATACCTGGCGAAGATCTATTTTTTATTCTTTTTATTTCACATAAGACATCATTTGGTGAAAAATGTCCTAACGGTGTAGAATGTATGGGTTGATTTACGAAATTGTTAATTAAATTATTCTGGGAAATATTTCGAGCGCTAAAAATGCTACTTAGATGATCAGCAAATGCCTCCGCTTTTTCTTCGTTGCTTTTTGCCCAAATGAATCCGTTTTGGTTGGTTATTTTCAGAGGAGGGTTTTGTTGTAGGGGTTTACTTTTGTTTCTGATTGGTTTCCATATGGAATTATCGTACCTATTTAACTGCAATATATACGACCTGAATGTACAATTCTTCCATTCTTTCATTTTTTTCCTCAGCGTGTTATTGAGATGATTAAGCGATGTCTTATCCGTTGGTAGATGAGAATGTTGCCAGGTTCGTCTTGCTCTTCGTTTCTGTGCAATTAGCTTCTTAATCTCTTGCGGAATTATTAGATTATCATTTCTTGGATTAATGTTCGGGGTGATCTGCTTGGTTGTTTCACGTACAATCTCAGAAAAATAATCTATATTATTTTCTATATCAATAACGCTTGTAGGCCTAGATTTTGGAAATAATTTTGAATCAAGTATGGATTTGAATTGAATCCAGTTAGAAAGATTGTTGTGTAGAATATGATTGTTGATAACTGGAGTAGGAAATGTGCTAAACGTCACAAGTATTGGAGAATGATCTGAAGAGAGATCGTAACTAGATTCAATATTGAGATTTGAAAGATCAATACCTTTCACAATAAAAAAATCTAAAAGGTCTGGAACTTTAGTAGGGTCAGAAGGCCAATAAGTTGGACTGCAAGTTGAAATAAAGGAGAGGTTATTTTGCCCTATGGCTGCATGAAGAATCTTTCCTTTGGCTGTAGTCAGTCTAGAACCCCAGGCAATATGTTTACAATTAAAGTCACCACCAATGATAAATTTATTACCTAATTGAGAGAAAAATGAAGAAAACTGAGCACAAGAAATTTTGAATCTTGGTGGACAATAAACAGCAGAAACACAAAAATTATATAAATTTGTTTCAACAGAAATTTGAGTTGCTTGTAGAAAATCATCAGAAATATTTGGTAGAACAAAATGCTTTATATTATTTTTGATTAATATAGCCGAACCGCCGCGAGCCCTGCCACTTGGGTGATTTGAATTATAAGTAGTGTAGTTATAAATTTTGAAGTAGTTTTTTTCAGTGAAGTGAGTTTCTGAGATTAATAAGATATCTATTAAGTTTAACTTTAAAAAACATTCTACTTCATTTTTGTGAGGTATTAAACCGTTGGCATTCCATTCAGCAATTTTAATTATTTTTGCCATTGCTTTTGTTGTTGACTAACGTGGATAACATATTTATTATTATGGTGTTCTGTTGCAAAAGCTGATTGAAGATATTTTTAAATTCTAAAATAAGTGTTGCTAGAGAATCAGAATCAGGATTTGAAGGTGAATGATTAGAAGCAGAGTAATTGTTTTTTGCAATGTCTGCATAGGATGAATTTTGAATTGTTGGATTTAAGGCCGGAGAAATGTTGTTTATTTTATTATTAGAATTAGAATTATTAGAATTTTTAAAATTTTGGTTATTTGGATTTGGATTTATGACTGATTGATTTACTGGAGTTTTGTTTCTTTGTTCTTTAATTTTTTGGAAGTATGAGCAACCGCGATAATTAGCTGGATGAGCACCGTCGCAAAAATAACAACATGCCGGAGCATTCGGATCTTTGGTACAAGCTATAGTATTATGATTGTCACCGCATTTTAGGCAAGCAAATGGTCTATTGCAGTATTTTTTGGTGTGATTAAAGAGTTGACAGCGAGTGCATTGTATAATGTTGTTGGACTTTCTCGGTGGTTCGACGCGTATTATGCAGTTGAATAATTTATAAATGTTATAAATATTTTTGTTATTTCTCTTTGGTTCCAGATCAACAAAAAACATATTAAGAGGTTCTTTTGTTATTCTATGTCTAATATTTAGGATATTACGTACGACATGACCCTGTTTTAATAGTTCTAATTTAATTGCATCTGTGCTTGTTGAAAAGTGTACATTTCTAAGAACAACCCTATAAGCCTTCTCTTCTTTTAATTGATATGTATGATATACGGCATTAGTTTCTTTTAGATGTCTGGATAAAGTTCGAAAATGGTCGACAGAATTACATAGAATTTTAAATGTATTGTTAGCTAAACTTCTCAGGAAATATTGATCGTGCGGAATTATTTCATTTAATTGATTAGTCATATCATTAATATCGTCAACTCCGTAAATAAATATTGGAGGGGGCTTACTGACTGGAGCCGGTTTAACTGAGTTGTCATCAATAGCTGTTTCTATTGTTGAAAGGGCCGAAAATCGGTTTTGAATTTTGACATCTATTCCTAATGGTTCAAATGAAGTTTTTCTTTTTTTGAAATTGACTACTTGCCATGAATTAGGAGGTTTCCTGACATCAGAATGTGGTTGAGTGAGGCTTGTAGATGCACTATTACTAGATGATATTACTTCCTGTCTTGAGTCAGAAACTGATGAAGTTGAACGCAGCGAGACCTTTTCCGATGTAAACATATTGGTCCGACCTTCTTCGCGAGGTATCTTGCTGTATTTGCTGGATCCAATAACGGTCTTTCGTAGTTTTGGGATTTCTGATGGTTTACTGTCCGATTCCATATTCGCTTCTAACACCTACTTGGTGTACTCTTATTT